CATGTTTCTTAACCAGAAAACTGTGTTCATGAAAATAACAAGATAAGTAAGTGTCCTGCCTTTCCGTCCTCGCATGAAATCCATTTCACTCGTTAAAGTTAAAAATTGCAATATAGGGATAACTGTAACAAATACGCTGAAATGGTATTCACACATATCGAACATTTGTGCATTCTCCTTATGAAAACTCTGTCTTCTCAGACATAAGCTAAAAGAAGCACCAGCTGAGGCAAAATAATTAGCATATTTATCACTTATTAGACTGAAGCTTGAATATGCCACTATTGTTTGGGATCCACGCAAGAAAAAAAAAAAAGCATTCATGCACTCGAAAAGATTCAGTGCAAAGCTGTACGGTTTATTTATTTAAAGTATCGGCAGACTAACTCCCCAATTACTTTGATGACTCAACATGGTATTTAGACATTGCAACTTCGACTTAAGGTACAGGGAATAAAGTTTATTTTTCAGCTGAAGCACAGAAAACTAGTGTTACAGTGAAAAGATTATGTATCGCCCCTTTCAACCCTACAAACTAGGCACCGTCATGCTGAATGCCGGCCTAACCCTGCTTAGCACCAGAACTAATGCTTTCAAACTTTTATTTTTTCCACACATGATAAATAAGTGGAAAACACTCCCGTTGACATGACTACATAGCGCTGAGTTTATGGAGAAAAGGGTTAAATAGGACATAATAGTATCTTCTTTTTCGTTTTCATGAGTTGTGGTCCAGTTTGTTGTGCACAAGCGATCAATCTCTTTTTTTTTCTGTGGTATATCGAGAGCTGTAGTTTTTGTGTCGGCCCTTACTTTATTGCTTATAGGCACAGAACACACTGTTGTAGTTGTTCTACCTATCAGTCGTTTTACTGTTTGGTTTTCTCCTACATTTAAAATTTTTGTTCCTATTACAGTGTTTGCCGTTTATGTATATATGTATGCATGTACATTTTCTCGTTTCAATGTGTAATGCTAATATTATTACTTATATATGTATGCAATTCTGCTGGGTCCTGAATGGGCATGCAGTATTTCATAAATAAATATATAAATAAAATAAATATTATTGACCAACAACAAAGGAAATCGGCAGAGATTGATAGACATCTGCAGTAATGAGGGAGATCTGCTGTAATGAGAGGGGTTTCGGGATGTTAAACACCAGATATTAATATATCTTAATGAGGGAGGATAAGCTTGAAATTAAGTAGAAAAATATCAGCAATCATGATTTTTGACAATAACGAAGGCAGTGAGCATAAGATACAGGAGGTCATGCTGGAGGTAGAGGATAAATACAATTATCTGGGCATATGAATCAACAATGGGGCTGAGTATCAAGGGAGCATGAAAGATGCGTAGCGACTAAAGGCGACAGCAATACAGATGTGATGAAAAATGGGGCACTCTGGAATTACAATAGGTACGATGTTGTGAGAGGAATTTGAAAAGGGGTCATGGTCCCGGGTTTGATGCTCGGCAATGCTGTCTTGTGCATCAGATCAGAGGTTCGAGCAAGATTGAAAATTAAGCAACATGGAATACGTAGCCTTGCTTTGGGAGCACACGGGAATACCCCAAAGGGGGTACAGGGGGACATGGGATAGACATCGTTTGAGTGCAGGGAAGCTAGCAGCAAGATAGAATTTGAGGAACGATTGAGAAAAATGGGAGAGGAGTGTTGGGCGAGGAAAGTTTACAGCTATTTGCATATGAAGAATGTTGATACTAAACGGAGGAAGCAAAGATTGTCAAGCAAGCATTTAGACAACAGCAGCATAACAAGCCAAAAGGAAACATCCGGTTAGGGAGAAGGGAAGGGAACAGAGTGAGACATGTGCAAGATTGGAATGCTTACGAAAATCATCACTGGAGACCAACTGAACTTTCGAGTGGGAAATCTCCCCCCGAAAAATCTGCAATAATTCTCAGGGTAGTTCTCAGCTGTTTGAGGCCAAAACGGGAGTATTGCGGACCAAGATGTACCGAACCAAATACGAAGGCGCACACACGATATGTAGTGTGTTCGGAGAGGAGGAAATGGCTTAACATTTATATTGTTCTGTAAAGCGCTCCACCCTATAGTTCAAAATAATGGCGTGCAATTTTTCAAAGCATTGGAGTTTAGGGACAGTGAACGCAAAATAGACTTTAAACAGGTAGAAATAACGAAGGAGGAGGCTAACTGATTGGTTGCTTACAATCAAGGGGAGAGTGAAACTATATCCTTCAACACATAGTGATAGTACTTAACTTTATTGGTGGCGTGAGCTGCTGCCCGATCTCATGGATACAGACTTATGCATTCATCCATCCATTTATCCATCTACCCTCTCTTTCTGTTTCTCTTAGTGTGGAGGCCTAAACTGTCAACGCTGTCGAGACCACGTTTCTGTTGTTGGGATTGTGCCTTTTTGCGGAGTTGCCGCAAGCTATGTCCTGGAAGCGGAAGGCTCTTTCCAATAAGGACAAACTGGGCATTCTTTGAAAGGTCAATAAGGATCCCAAAAGAAAAAGGCACAGAGATGGCTAAGGAGCTAGGTCTCGCAACATCAACACTAAAGACGATTCTTGGACAATGGGGCTCAGCAATGAAGAGTGTGCTTTCGTTGAGCATCAACGCTAAGCAAGCCAAGACAGCTCAGCACGTGAAGCTTAAAGAAGGTCTTTTGACCTGGTTTAATGAAGGTAGTGCCACTGGTGTGAATATTAACGGCAAAATCTCTGCGTGCGAAAGCAGATGAGATCGCACTTGCTCAGCTCGTCAACGGATTTCAGGCCTCAGGTGAGTGGCTGTATCGTTTCAAGATGAGACACTGTCTCGTTTACAAAAGTGTCTGTAGCGAAGCTAGGAAGGCTGATGAGATCGTTGTTAGCGACTGGCTTGCGAAGCTGCAGTCTCTCATCTCGTGGTATGAGCCTCATGATTTTTTTAATGCAGATGAGCCTGGCCTGTTTTTTTTTTAACCTTCTGCCCGAGAAGAGCATTTGCTTAAAAGGTGAAGCGTGGCAAGGAGGCAAGAGAAGCAAAGAGCGAATAACGGTTCTTTTATGCTTTAACACTGATGGTAGGCAAATTTCAAAAGCTGAATTCGGTGCTTCAAGCGCAAAAACCATTTGCCGTGCGTCTATCGTCGTAACATAAAGGCATGTATGACAGTGGCCTTGTTTGAAGAATTTCTGTCGCTCCTTCACAAAATGATCAGCAAGAATCAGAAGATTGTTCGGCTTCTTGACCAGTGAGCTGCCCACCCGAGACAAGCAATGCCCGAAAACGTCAAACTGGTCGTTTTGCCTGTGAACACGATGACACACTTGCAATTGGCTAGATGCTGGAAATATAAAAAAACTACAAGCATCACTTTAAGGGCCTTCTTGTGTACCACCTACTTGCCAAAATTTACAGAAGGCAGTCTGCAAATAACCCTCCTGGACGCCATTCATTTTATTGTTATATCTTGAGATCTAGTGACGTTGGCTACCATTGCAAACTACTGTGGTAAATGCAGCTTTTTCAAGATTCCCCAAAAGGTGCCTTCAGAGCCAGAAGGGGCAATCAAGGGTTAGGAATGTCTTGATGCTGGGTGTACAGCGACGACCTGTGCATGGTGGATGACAACCTCACCACTTGTGCACACACAGTGGAGGATGTTGTTAAGGAGGTCACATGTGATGTTGCCGATTCTAGCGACGATGGCGAGGACATGGTCAACAATGAAGGACCATTACCGGCAGCGGAGGTGCTGCACTTGCTCTACGTCCTGAGGCGTGCTATGGCCCCGACACATGCACGTGTTTTCATGGATTTCGGAAAAGCCTGTTTGTGGCTTGATGAAAAAGAAGAGAAAAGACATTAGAGGTTTTTTTCTGCAAGAAATAAATGTTTTTTATGTGTGCCTAAAATGAGTTTTTCTCACTCATCGTTAATTTAGCTAGTTTTACTAGTGTTTTGATTATACGAATTTTGGCCAATATGAGTATTTTTTGTGACCCTGCGAGATTTGTATCGCCAAGATTCTACTTGTATTTCCACTATGACATTCGGCAGTCATGGATTTGTTGCCTTAAATAAAGGCCCAACCCCGCTGCTGCGTTCCTCTCCTCTCATCCATATTCAAATGACACTGTGAAGTATCGAAATGCCTTACATAGTTTATGAGTAGTACTTGTTTTTAAGGACCGGCTTTTGTATTGGCATGCATGGGTACAGTTTCATATACGACATCACAAAGCAGCAATTCACTTTGTCTCTTGGTCATTGTAGCAGCCACATGTGAGTAGAGCTCCTGAAAAATGTGGGCAGCATTCTTGCTTATTTTGTAATGTGCAACGTCATTTTTAATGGCCTCACTGCTTTGCAATGTTACGTTTCTTCTCTGTCACGGCAGTCGGAATAATAATAATTATACTAAATACAGTGCTTTAGCACCAGATAGTGAGAACTTATGTGCTGAACCCTCAAAGTTGCAAGAAATTGGTCAATTTTCATTCAGGAAGCGTGTAGGTAAGAGTGTTATAGTGCCCATCTCTATGCGAGCCTAGGCTAAGCCGCGTGCATAAAGCAGTGAATCTGATAGTGACATCTTGGAATATCGTGTGTAGTATGGCTAGCAGCTGTGCTCTAGCATCCAACCTGGTGTAACAGAACAAAGTGTGAGCATTAAGAAATGCAGCCACTGTGCCGAGTGAAGCGGCCTTTGTGCTTTACGTCGCTTCAGTGCAAGTCGAGTTGTGAGAACACAGGCATGGACGAAGCGACAACCTGTCTGCGGATTCCTGTAGAGGGGCACACAACTGTCCCCGGCTTCTGAAAAAGTGCAGCTCCTGCTGGTACATGGTATACTGTACGAGAAAAATATGTACTTGGTTCTTGCTGGAAATAAATATTAGGCTTTCTGTACGTAACTTAACCCCTTTTGTAAAAAGCTTGGTTATGGTAGTTGGGAGGCCTGGCATGTCTGGATATTAGCCTAATCAGCGGCTGTTGTCTTTTGCAGTGCAGAAATGTGCCGTCTTCCACATGCCCTGTCGTGTCGGAGATGTTGCCAATGATTAACGAATGGCTGTTGTCACTGGCGGTCGAGATCCATGAGATTGGGCCGGGTTGCCTTGCGCTCACTGCCCTCGATAATATCAACATGCCCCCGGTTACCACCAGGACAGTCAACCACGCTGCTGTCTTGCTGCACTGTCTTCTCACCAAGCACCGCTGCGTTCAGGTATGGCAAAGAGGGTGGATGTACTGTACTTGAAGATCTGAGCACAAAGGCCAGAAATGGACAAGACATGTATGTGATAATTTGAGCGCAGAGAGATAGGGACCCTCGTGCTAAAATTTTCACATGTGCAGTGGTGATGTGACTGTGCCAATTGCATCGTTTTCTACAATTCCATATCTCTGCGTCTTGCTGTGCACACTCGAGTACAGCTTGCGCCAGTTCGCTAGTCTGCCTTTGTACAGGGCGCCAGACCGTTAATGGCCCAAAACTTTTTTTGGTCACCACAAACACAACTAGGGCTTTTTTCATAATGCGCTGCTAACCAAAGTGTCTGCACCTCGACGTGTGTGTCCGTTTTTGGAAGTTTAGCATGCCGTCGATAGCCTCTTGTTTGTTATAGAACTGGCGATAACATGTAGAAAAGTAACTCTGGGTACCATAATGTAGTCACCGTGGCCAATGGGCAACAGGTATCGGCACTGCGTGCTAGAAACTTCCTATTCTCTCAAATTTAAATTCGACCATGAAACATTTAGTTTGATACTTTGCAAAAAAAAAAGTTGACTCCTCTTGATCACGCCGCACAAGGTTCTTCGCTATACAGTGAAATCTCGGTATAACGAATTTCAGGGGGCCACGGCAATTGGTTTATTATTTTGAAAGGTGGTTATAGTGAAAGCCCGAAAATTAACCATAAATTTTATTTTCAACTGACCAAAACGACTTACCTTTACAATGGTGGGTCCTTGAACCTGTTTTTCACGAGAAGAAACAAATGCACAAGTGAACACCAAAAAATGCACGTTTACTTTAAAATAGTCTCTGATATTTTTTTCTTTTTTTGACGCGTGCAGTACAAACTGCAGCACGAAGGCCTCCAGCTCATCCACATTCCTGTGGTGCGATTCTGTTCTTTGGTCACAATAGCCTGCTTTTTGCCTTCCAGTTGCCGAAGAATATCCACTTTCTTGCTTAGCGAAAACTGCTTTTGCTTCTTCGTCGCAAATGAGACGAACTAATTTGTAGTAGCACCGCAGCGCGAATACCGACTTGCTTTGCAGACGCGATAAATAATCACCAAAAAAAGATGAACACGACTGACAAACAAGGCCTCCCAAAGCACATGTAGAAGTGATAAAGGAAGAAAAAGCCGAAGCGTCGCGGCTGCCATCGCCTCTTCAGAAAAAAAAAGCACAAAAAAAAAGAAAGTTTCTCGCGTATCGTTTTCTGCTCCCTCGCTGTCTCAGGTTTTCCGGGCCCATGCTTCTTGATTCCCAACTCCCACTCTGCCTCGCTGATCTTGCCCTCCCGTGTTGGCTTCACCCCTCGCATTTGCTCTTGTAAACCTAGAGCGTCGGTGTTTCAACAAAAAGAAGGAAAAAAAAGTCTTCTTTCGTTCTTTTCCCTCCGCACCGTCGCGTGTCTTTGGAGAAGCAAGGTGTCCGTTCACTTTGTCGTCTGCTTGCGTACCGCTCCGGTGGTCGCGATGGATTTCAGAACATGAGTTCGTAGTACTGGGGCGTCGTTAATATAATGCAGAGCTAAATTGACGTTTGTTATTCTTAAAAGTTTGGTATTCTGACGTACCTAGTAGTGAAATAATTTTACATTGAAACTATTAGCAGTCAGCACTAGATTTTTAAAAGTTTGTTAATCTGAAAAGTTCATTAATGTGTGGTTTGTTCAATTGAGATTTCACTGTATATGTCTATCGTAATGTTAAGCGTAAATATCTAAGTAGAGCTCACGAATGTGCAAGGGCTCGTCGCGAGTCTTGATTTCCAAACTGACTGATCCAAACCAATGCACGTAGTAATTGAGACGTGAATTCAGCCACAAATGAAGAACAAGGACTCTCACGCCTCCTTAACGTCATTAGAATAATTTGTGTTGTCAGTTGACAAAAAAAAAAGCAGTCAGTTTCACTCCATGGGTGAAGCGATTAGTGCGATAGAAACAAAATGCAATGTTATACGAAGTGAGGCTGGCAGCTCACTCATTAGGATTCGATATCACGCAACTGTACAAAACACTGGTTTAAGAGAGTAGGAATGCTCTAAGAACACTCTTCGCACTGGCAAGATAACGTGCGCGCCAGTGACGACCGCCGTGGTAAAATCAAAGGTCACAGTTGATGCTAGAGAGACCCCTCTTCCCCCTCGCGTCTGTTGACCCTAGTTAAAGACGGGCAGGGCGTTTCCTTCCTGTTCAGAGTTTGACAGCTCGTCTTAGAAGACCGGGGTGGGGGCATCTTATCTCATGCGCCTCAGAGTGAAGGGGACTGGGCGACATGATGGCGACGGTAGAAACCCTGTTGATACTGTCAGTATATGCTAGCGCAGTGAAAGGTAAAACCATAGAATTGTTAGGTAAAATAAGTCTCCCCCGTCCTGTAAATAATCCCAAGTGATTCCCTCGCACTTGTTGGGAGCTACGCTGGGCGAGCTCATCATCCTATGTTTGGAAGTGGCACACTGACTACCTCCCCCCCTCCCCCTCCCACCCCCCCTAAAAAAAGGTAGCGCTCCTATCTAACCAGTCAGTCGCCATCTGTCACCTAGCCTGAATGCGGAATGCCGTAGTTAATCTCGAACCATGTCAGTATCGCGGGGCCAATACCTACCCATCGCACCTTGACAGCATATTTATGTGAAAAATTCGAGAACAGGTGAGTCGCAAAAGCCAATATTTTGACAAACGGACTCGTCTCCTTCATGGCTGCCTTGAATAAATCCATCTCTCCCTCCTTCATATTTAGATTGATCACGGACCCCACCCCTTGTACCAGCTGTTTAAATGATGTCAGTTTCATTTTTAGAGTACTTTTTAATCTGAATCTGGAAAACTGGAAGTGCTGAGCCCAAAATCATCTAAGTTGAAAGGAAAGTGTCACTGGGTGCTCACACATCCAGCAATTATTGAGTAGGGTGGAGCATTATTCCCAGTGAGTGGTGGCAATTATTCATTGCACTATCTACGTAACCAATTTCAAACAGTACATTCCCACTTGCAACGATCGAGTTTTTATTTTCATTCTTTAATTTTGATACTGCTGGTTTTCTGATTAGGTTTTATTTTTTGGAGTCATCTTATGACTCCTGTCATATTACAGAAACAATATGCACCCTGCCTACCTTGTCATGAACACATGTAACGTCCTTGTCACTAACGCTTCACTTTTGCACATCTTGTGCAATGCAGTGAAACCAGAATGTGGCACTTTGGTGAAAAGAACCTGATGAACGGCTGCTTTCTGGATGTCTGCCTTGTCTCCTTTTTTGCATTACAGCAGCGTTTCCAGTGTAAACACAGTAAGAATATTCACCAAAAATTTAGACATGTTTTGCACCAAGTCATCCTAAACTCCGTTTTTTCGGCTCCAAATTTGCTCCAAAACGCAGTTTTTCCTGCGATAAATCTGCTTCAAAACAGACTTTTTCCTGCTTCAAAAATTGCTCCAAATCGTAAATGGGAAGGATCATCACTGCGTGTGCTACGGCACCACCTCGCACAACTTTTCATCATTCCGAGTATCGTAATTACTCGAATCCAAGGCGCACATTATTTCTGGTTAAGCGAGATCATAAATCGCATGCGCGTTAGAATCGAGTACGAAAAAAATTGAATACGGTCATTCTATTGCCATCGCCATTTCCAAGATGGCCGCCCCCTACGTGCGTCGGCATGGCGCGTCGGCCATTTCTGCCTATGTGTTTTCCATGTGCGGCACTTCGTACGTGTGCTGAGAAGTTCGTCATCTTGTAGTGCATTAGCATCCACGGCATGGAAGGGCCGACTCCAAAAACTGTAGAATTGAGTAAATATGGTAAGCATACACCTATTCAACCTGCTTTTTTTTTAATAGGGCCCCTCACCAGGTACGAACATTGCAGAAAAACAAGGAGGGTGCGTTGGTCAGGCATTGGGAAATAGTGTGTGGAAAGTGTAAAGTATTAAAGCACTTTTGTCTGCGTAAAAATGGCTGAATTTCAAAATGGAAAAGTGTGCGTCTTTTGTCTCAAAACATCTACTGCTTTAGTCAAAGTCATGCTTTTACGCACTGTTTTGAATGTCAGTGAGTGTGGGAGGTGACTTGTTTCATTATTGAGTGCTAGTTCCATCACTGAAAAGACATAGCAAGGAAAAGGATTCATCACAGATATTGCTGTCTAGGCTCCCAGCAGATAGCTAAATTTACAGAACTTTGATTGTTTGTCATATTTAGTCAAGGTAAACACCTCTCCAAAGGCGAACTCTCCCAAGATCGACCCTCCCCTTCTGGTGGCATAGTAACAGTTCAGTTTCTCGTAACTTCTCTAATAATGAATTACATTAGGAAAAATCAGTTTAAACACACCTAAGATGGCAGGCACCTTGCAGATTTCAACGTTCAACAAAAATTTGTCGCGAGACGAGATCTGGTGAGGAGCGCTTTACTCTCTAAATTTTGTATTGTGAGCCACCAAGAGATTGGTCTTTAGCCGAATCTTGCTACAGTCGAACCCCTTTGAAAGAGAGACAGATATAGGAGACAAATAGGTATAAAAGACACCAGTATGCCTACAGTGAAACATAGGTCCATAAGAAAATGCATGTGGGGTGCCCTGCTTATAAGAGACATCACACAGCAATTCTGGTTTCTTTTAAGAAACCAGAATTGCTGCTCTGTTCAACTCCATAACAAACTCCACTACAATGAAACTTTCACAACAAACAGTTTTCCATTCCCAATCAGCCACCCATAGAAAAAAGTCTTGTCGCTATGAACACTTCCCCTGGATACCCTACACACTCGCGTAATAAACAATATTTTTTTTCAGAAAAGTTTATGCCTATTTGGTGAGAGGGTTCATTATGCTTGAGAAAAAATTCACGAGCGTTATAACAGCGGTAATTTCGCGTGGCTTTTTGCTTGTCCTGGCTCGTGAAATGCGTGACAAATCTTTTTGTAGCCAAAAGCTCTTGTTTTCTCTCGTAGCGAATGCGCATGGATTGACGCT